CATAAGGATTTGAAATTTTGCTACAATATTGAGTTAATTAAGAAGAAATATTAGACTAGTAGTGAGGTCGTGGAATTGTTCCTATTCTTACCTAAACTACTGGCTAACAAAATGCTCTTTGTCAACCAAAAGACAATTTGGTATTCTACGACAAAATAAAATCTTCAAGTGTTTTGGCTTTTTTTTTTTTTGTTGGTTTTTTTTTTGTTGGGGGGGTGGTGTGGGTGAAGAAAAAGGTGGAGAGGAAGTCGGAAATGCAGACAAAGAAGATGAAACTCTTTTTTTTTTTTTTTTTTTTTTTTCAGTTTTGAGGATGAGATGGATCCAATGAGCTTACCATATTATTAGAGAAATCAAAAAGACTAGGAGAATAATCTATAATGTCTGGTTCTCTAATGTTGATTAGGAATCTGGGGCAATAATGTAATTTCAAACCTCGCCTACAAAGTAAGTTTTGATGTTTTTTTTTTTTTTCAAACTTCGCCTACATATCATCATAGCATTTCTAATTTAAAAATAAATTTAAAAAACCCACTTTTTCTCTTTTCTATACATTTTCCTTTTAAAATTTTTATATTTACATGCGCATAATGCATGGGCTCCATTTAATTCTCTATAAATAAAGCATATCATGTTTTAGTAGGCGCATGAAATTGAAGAATCATAAATAAGAGATCCCCTTCACCAAATCCTACCCATCAACTAATCTGAACCCTTGAAATTTGATCTAACAGCTAAAAACATGAACCCATTTTAAAAGTTATAATAACTTTAGCCGTTGGATCAAATTTTAAGGGTCCAGATCGATTGATGGGAAGGATTTGGTAAAAGAGATCAGGAGATGATCCCCTTCCGTAAATAAGCATGCCATATTATGTGAAATCATAAAAATATTGGATTGAGGTTTGAAATTTCCTCTTTCAAATGGACCCCAATTTTCCACTTCCCTAGTCGAACAAAATTTGTTTTTGCCGTAACTTGTGGAAAAGGGATAGAATATGTTAACCATTCAGAACTTGTGGAAAAGGGATATAATGTGTTAACCATTCAAGTTATTCTTTAATTAAAAGTTATTCTTTAATTAAAGTGGAATGGGAATGAGTCTGCATTCAAGTTATTCTTTAATTAAAGTGGAATGGGAATGAGTCTGTTAACCATTCAAGTTATTCTTTAATTAAAAGTTATTGTTTAATTAAAGTGGAATGGGAATGAGTCTGTTAACCATTCAAGTTATTCTTTAATTAAAGTGGAATGGTATATGTAAAGACGAGCAGGGACGAGCCATCGTTCACTACGCAAAACCCTATTCTCGTTTACAAGTTTCTACTTTAATTCACTTCACTTGCATGTGTTTTGCTTGTCCTGAATACAAGAAATGGCGGAAGGAGTTCTCTTCAACATTGCAGAACGGATCATTGTAAGGCTTGGAAACTGTGCTTTCCAAAAGATTGGATCGATTTGGGGTGTCCAAGATGAGCTCAACAAGCTCAAGGAGACCGTTGCTGGATTCCAAGATGTTCTCCTTGATGCTGAGCAAAAGCAAGCCAACAACAATGAAGTCAAGTTGTGGCTCCAAAGCGTAGAAGATGCAGTTTATGAAGCCGATGACGTGCTGGATGAGTTTAATACTGAAGTTCAGAGGAGACAAGTGATGCGTGACAATACTAAGCTGTCAAAGGTATGCCTCTTTTTTTTTTAGCTCAAATCATCCTGCTTTATGGTGAAAGATGAATCATTAGATAAAAGATATTAACAAGAGGATTCTAAAGGTTGCACCTCGTAGAACAATTTTAAAGTCACGTAAGCCTATTGATAATCACCTATTAGGAGTACAATAGGTCTCTGAATAACTCATATTTAACTACAACAAGTCTCCTACATTATTGTTTTGAATGTTTCGTATAACTTACCGTTACAAAACTCTATTAACTTATTAATACAGTTCTATCGAAATAATGATTGTTTCTACTCAAACTCTTACAGGTGCGCCTTTTCTTTTCTAGCTCAAATCAACTTGTTTTTGGGTTAGAGATGAGTCATAAGATAAAAGATATTAACAAGAGGCTTAGTGAGGTTGCATCCCGTAGACCCAGTGACTTAAACAATAATCGTGAAGATACAAGATTTATATTGAGAGAGAGGGTCGCTCACTCATTTGTCCCTAAGGAAAATATTATAGGGAGAGATGAAGATAAAAAGGCAATTATCCAACTTTTGTTGGATCCCATCTCAACTAAGAATGTGTCCACCATTTCCATTGTTGGATTTGGAGGATTGGGGAAAACTGCACTTGCCCAACTCATATTCAACGATGAGGTGATTCAAAATCATTTTGAGTTGAAATTATGGATATGTGTCTCTAATGTATTTGAGTTGGATATACTGGCTAAGAAAATCCTAAAATTTGACCAGCTTGATAAGCATCAGCTTGAGATGGTGGATAAGCTTGATATGGATAAGCTGCAAAATCATCTTAGAAAAAAAGTAGATGGGAAGAAGTACCTACTTATATTGGATGATGTGTGGAATGAGGATCAAGAGAAGTGGCTTAGCTTGAAGGACTTGTTAATGGGTGGTGGAAAAGGTAGTAGAATACTAATAACCACTCGTAGTAAAATTGTTACAACGATATCAGACACAGCTAAACCATACACCTTAAGGGGTTTGAATGAAGAGCAAAGTTGGTCTTTATTTAAGGAAATGGCTTTTAAAGATGGAAAAGAGCCGGAGAATTCAATAGTTAAGGCAATTGGGGTGGAGGTTGCAAGAAAATGTCAGGGAGTTCCCCTCGCTATAAGGACAATAGGTGGGATGTTGCGCACCAAAGATCAAGAAACAGAATGGTTGAATTTCAAAGAAAAGAAACTATCAAAAATAAATCAGAAAGAAAATGACATTTTACCAACACTTAAACTGAGTTATGATGTGCTCCCATCACATTTGAAGCATTGTTTTGCTTACTGTAGTTTGTTCCCGCCTGATTATGAGATCTCTGTAGAGCAATTGATTAGATTTTGGGTGGCCCAAGGGTTCATTAAATCATTTGATGAAAACGAGGGTTTGGAGGATGTTGCCTATGAATATTATAGGGAGTTGTTGCAGAGATCGTTTTTTCAAGAAGAAAAAACAGATGAGTTTGGTATAATAAGTTGTAAAATGCACGATCTCATGAATGAACTCGCAATCTTAGTGTCGGGGGCTGGAAGCGCTGTAGTTGATCTGAGCAGAAAGAATTTTCATGAAAAGCTTTGTCATGTATCTTTCAATTTTAATATTGATTTGTCGGAATGGGAAGTGCCAACATCCTTGCTAAAAGCAAGCAAGATACGAACCTTTCTTTTTCTTCGGCAACAACGTTGGAATGATCACCAAAGTTCCTCACGTAATGCATTTTATACTACAATTGTTTCAAATTTTAAGTCATTACGGATGTTGACTCTCAATGAATTAGGAATTACAACATTACCTAATTGTCTTAGAAAAATGAAACATTTGAGATATATTGATCTTAGTTGTAATCGTTACATGAAGAGACTTCCAGATTGGATGGTTGGACTTTCGAATTTGGAAACACTAGATCTCACTTTGTGTCGGAGTCTTGTGGAATTGCCTAGAGACATTAAAAAAATGATCAACTTAAGGCATCTCATATTGGAAGACTGCTGGCGGTTGAGTGGAATGCCACGTGGAATTGGTGAATTGAATGGTGTTCGTACATTGAATAGATTTGTTTTGAGCGAAAGCAATTGTTTGGGGAGGGGCGGTAGTGCTGGTCTTGCTGAGCTGGGGACCCTTAAGGAATTAAGGGGAGAGTTACTCATATTGAATTTGAGGCATGTGGTGTCAGAATCAAATGTTGGTACACCTCTCAAGGACAAACACCATCTCCATTCTCTGTCTTTATACTGGAAAGAGGGAGAAGATATAAGCGCGGTTGATGAGGAGGATATTATAAAGTCAATGGAAGTATTGCAACCCCATTCTAATCTAAAGCAGTTGTCCGTGTTTCATTATGGTGGTGTGAGGTTTGCGAGTTGGTTTTCTTCTCTCATAAATATTGTTAATCTCCAATTGATTGGATGTAACAGATGCCAACGTCTTCCGCCCTTGGATCATTTGGAGAAGCTTAAGTCTCTTACATTGGTTGGGTTCGACAAGTTGGAGTACATATCAGAGAATGAGAGCAGTAATAGTATGAGTGATGAGATGATGAGGATCTCATTCTTTCCCTCCCTGGAAAAGCTCTCCATAGAGGATTGCCCTGTTCTGAAGGGATGGTGGAGGGCCCACACTCATAACAGTGCTTCTTCTTCTTCATCAACGGAAAATCTGTCGTTGCCTTCTTTTCCTCGTCTTTCTACATTGATCATCAGGGATTGTCCTAATCTAACTTCCATGGCTCTGTATCCAAATGTGGAGAGAATACATCTCAGAAGGAGCAGCTGGAAGGTTGTTGATTCCTTGTTTGTTAGAGGAGCATCTGATATTACACATGATGTTGGTGTTGATGTTGATGTTTCTGCCTCTTCTTCTTCCCCTCATCTCTCCAAATTAACACATCTGTCACTCGATGGAATTGAGGATTTCGCATCACTGCCAGAAGAAATAAGCAATCTCACATCAATTCAGGAGCTTGCAATTAGTAATTGCTCTAATTTGGCATCACTGCCAGAAGGGATTCGTGGACTCCCCCGTTTAAATAGATTGAAAATTCAGCGGTGCCCCATGTTAAGCGAAAGATGCAAGAAAGAAACAGGTGAGGACTGGTTTAAGATTGCTCACATCCAATCCATTGAAATTGATGAATCTTAAGGTGCGTTTTCTAACTTGTTTAAATTTACACTTGCCTAATTCAGTATAAGCTAAGAAATATTAAAATGCCGATCTCGTCTCTTATTTTTATTCTTCATTCATCATCACCAGCAGTTTATTTTTCTTTCCAGATGGCATACCATGTGGATCAATGATTTTGGTATGCATTCATTACCCACTAAATTCAATTTTTTTTTTTTTTAATTTCTCTTTAATTTCCTTCTTTTCAATTATATAATCTTATATGCAGTGAATGGGGCGTCAACCTTTTGGATTCAATATGTAAGGGCCATTTTGATTGCTTGAAGTGGTTGTATATGATTTTACTTTTGAATGTCGGGGTTTTAAGTACTATGTCCCCTCATTGTATGTTTTTTCTTTAAATAATATAATATGGGCGTGAGGGCCTAGCCCCCCAGCTTCGACTGGGTTCCAGCCCTCTTTAAATATTTCTTTTTAATATTTGTTGATGTATTGAAAGCAAAATCACCTTTGTCACGTTATAACATACAAGTTGCATAATTATACACAAACAATGATAAAAAAAATTACGTCTATTAATTCTCAATGCACTAAAGTAACCAAATATTCTAAGATCGAAGAAAGTCCAAAATCAACTTTGGATATGGGTCGGGACACAAAAATCTGCTCCTAAACCCGAAACTAATCACAAAAAACTAATCAGTAAAGCAAATAAACTAATTATGTTTTGTTTAGTCAAAAGGAAATTCATGACAGCCATTACAAAAACAAAAATATTTGTTGTTTTTTCTATGTCCCGTATCTATAAACAACTCAGACAACTCCTAGTTAGTTTCTTTGTTTTCTTTTCCTCGATTTCCTTAGCAATCAAATGGTCTCCCTAAGTAAAAACAAATTCTTCAAACATACCGAATGTTTTCTAATATTTTTCTTCCTTCCTTTTATTCATCTACCCATTATTAACCCACACCAGTTCATACTTATAATATGTGATAGGTTTATTTTTAAAAAGCTGAAGATGCTTGTATTGCCAAGAACCAAAAAGGGAAAAGTACGGACCTTGACATTCACATAGAAATCTTCCATGCAGTTCTTTGGCATCTACAAAAACAAACTTATTAACAGATCAGTCAAAGGAAATTATTACAACCTCTGCAAAAACAAAATATGGCATGGTTGCGCTCATAAAAGCATTTGAATTGATCACAATTCGTGACTCGTTAAACATGATATCTCCTTAGACATTTTGGGAACTTGACAGCTTATATTTTCTATAACACAGATGTGCTCATAAAGGCAAATTACAGCAACCTAATGTCTACTAAAAACTTGGAGAAGGGACTCAATTACTCAACGAACAGGTGCCTCACCCTTTCATATTAAAGATCAAAGAGAGAACCCAGCCGAACTCTTCGAAATTCGTTGGCACACATGCGTCATTTGCTCAATTGAATGTATAATGCATGCTTAGATACAACGATTAGAACAATTGTTATAGATTGACATAAGCCTCCAAACTTTAAAAAAATTGAAACCTTAAGAAAGCAGAACCTGTTTTCATTCAGATTTGTGCTGTTTCGATTGGCTTATCTCGCTATGACTTGATTCATTAGTTCTAAGGGAAGTTCTAATCACTACGAAAACAGCTTAATAACAGTTGATTATCTCTAAAACAAAGAGGGAAAACATAGAAATACTATCTGTAATTAATAATAAGAAAAATACCATGAATTTGTTTTTGGGAAGCTGCTTTTAGCTTAGTACCCTCGTCTGGCGAAAACATATCCTACAATGCAGCAAGAAATAGAGTAAAAGGAATTATAGTTGGTTTCCATTTAGAACCTCAAAACCCCACTTTAGTCTTTCTCTTACCAGAGAAAACAGCATCTCCGGTGAAAGTGAATTCGAACTTGGCATCCATTCCTCCATCATACTTAGAAGCAACCACATCCTGAAAGTAAGCCCCCTGACGAACTTCCCATCCATCCACTTACTCCGGAGTCTTGAACTTTACAATTATAAGTTTGCTCTTGCTACTCCTTCCTGCTCGTAATTGCGCCATTTTCTTCTTATAGTCCTAAAATGAAAAAAGAGAGAATGATAACACCCACCATTTAAAGGAGTAAAAGCACAAAAAAAATATCTTGCAAACCCTTGATTTATCGGTAAAGCACATCAGAACCAAACAGTCAAGAAAATAACTTCAAACCAATTCTATATTTCTAATCAGAAGATGTGCAATTTTTATTTTATTTTTATCCGTCTTCAATTTGTGGCACTTCATTCTCAATAATGAACAATTCACAAAATTCCAGATTTGCTATATCAGAGGACAGACCGAATAGGAAAATGCATCATTCATTATCCAAATTGAAACAACAATCCCACTAAAATTGACTACTCATAAGAATCTCATTCCACAAAGCTTCTTCAGTCCAGGCCTAAACAACTGCAAGCAAAAAAATCCCCAAGGTACATACTTTCATCCAAATCATCCACCGCCATTAAGAAAACCACAACCTATATCTTCCTTCAGCTAAGATTAAAGCAAAATTTGAAACCCTAATCACTCCCAAACATGCTTTTGGAATATGAATAGAAAGGAAACTTGAAATTAGAGGATCATACAGAATTGGGATGGGGATTGGACTCGTGCTCGGAATCGACCTTTTCCTCTTGCTTTTCAGATTGATCACCAAAAAGGTTCTGCATCACCCGGTGCCACTTCTCTGGATTCTCTGGCAGTCCACCGACCATCTTCTGCTGAATCCACCATATCCGTCGGTGTTACAGCGACGGTTTTACTTTATTCTTAAAATTCTGACTCATACTCATATGCACCGTATCCAGCTTAACCACTTTATTATCCTCCTCATCCTCTGTTACTAAATAAGTAGGGGCAGCTGCCTTTGTTTATGCCTCTGTTACTAAATAAGTAGGGGCAGCTGCCTTTGTTACTAAATAAGTAGGGGCAGCTTAACCACTTCATTATCCTCCTCATCCTCGCAAAGCCCCACTTGATATGTCTGAAGTTGAAGCTTGAGCTTAAGTTGTTCCGTGAGTGCATTAGCTTCTTTCCACTCATCTCAGCTTTCAATGTGGCACCTTCAACAGCCCAGATAGCATCATCCACCTACAAATATTGCAAAAGAAAAATATTTTAGCTCCTAAATCCAAACTGGAAAAGAAAAAACACAGAAAATTAAGTAAACAGAATGCAACTGAACTTGCACAGCTTGCTTCTCAAATTCACGAAATGTTGCTAGAATGTCGTAGCAGCGTGGCAAATTCATCAGGTAATTTCTGTTGCCAATGATTTTCTATCAAATGAATTCATTTTGTGTTCAAATTCCAAGTAATTAATAATAAGAAGGATACCATGAATTTTATTACCCAAATCTTGTAATTAATAATACGAAAAATACCATGAATTTCATTTTGGAAAGCTGCTTTTAGCTTAGTAGCTCCATTTGAGAATGCAAATATGGCATACCGGTCAAGGGTTCGACCCAAAGGAAGTGAAAGCTTTTTTGACAGTTCAATACCCTCCTCTGGTGAAAACATATCCCCAGTCAATGGCAAGACAGATATGAAAAAGAGAGAAAATGATAACAACCACCGTTTAAAGGAGTAAAAGCAGAGTTAAGCACATCAGAACCAACAGTCAAGAAAATAACCAAACAGTCAAGAAAATAACCAATTCTATATTTCCAATCAGAGTTCTTCCAACTACAGAGTTTGCCTATAAAAACGATGTGAATCAGCCTATGTTAAGTAAGGGGGAAGTAACCATTCGAAGTGGTGTATGGTAAGAGGACTAACAATAAGGGGGGAGGGCAGCGATCAAAGCTTAGGTTTAGGGCCCACTAGGTTTAAACGAAAGAAGAGATCTTTCTAGCGATTCAGTTCCTAGAGTGTTCCAAACCTAGCCTTCTCAAGATCGGCTTTATTATTTGGTTAGGAGTTCGGTAGCTCGTCGGAGGAATGCCACTACGAAGCTTCTTCTCCCTCTTTTTGCAGTCGAATGGGCAAACTTCCTAGCCGTAACCGGAATATGCCCTCCCGAGCAAGTGGATCAAAAGAGAAAAGAGGAATACGATTTGCTGGAATGCACCCACCAGTTTTGCAATGGTGGAAAGGTCTCTCGCCGCTCCCGCAGGCCTGGCACATCAGAACCAAACAGTCAAGAAAATAACCAATTCTATATTTCTAATCAGAAGATGTGCAATTTTTTTTATTCGTCTTCAATTTGTGGCACTTCATTCTTAATAAAGAACATTTCACAAAATTCCAAAACTGCTACAACATCAAGGGACGGACCGAATAGGAAACGACATCATTCATTATCCAGATTGAAACAACAATCCCACTAAAATTGACTACTCATAAGTATCTCATTCCACAAAACCGAAACAGATTACTAAATGTCAAAAAAGAGTATTTCAAGGATATGGCAAAAGGATCACACCTGAAATGCTTTGGTAAGATTGTATACCCCTCTTTGATCAACCCTGTAGAGGTCTCCGCTGATGGTAGAGCATGCAGTAGCACAATAGATAATCTTGTTATAGCCCTGTACTGAGGCGTACAGGGTAGCAGGATCACCCGCATCCCCAGTCAATGGCAACACAGATATGAAAAAGGAGAGAAAATGACAACACCCACCGTTAAAAGGAGTAAATGCAGAGTTAAGACAGAAAACAATAAAAAATATCTTGCAAATTCTTGATTTATCGGTAATGCACATCAGAACCAAACAGTCAAGAAAATAATTTAAAACCAATTCTATATTTCTAATCAGATGATGTGCAATTTGTTTTTATTCGTCTTCAATTGTGGCACTTCATTCTTAATTCACAAAATTCCAGATCTGCTACAACATCAAAGGACAGACCGAATAGGAAAACGACATCATTCATTATCCAGATTGAAACAACATCCCACTAAAATTGACTACTCATAAGAATCTCATTCCACAAAACTTCTTCAGTCCAGGCCTAAACAACTGCAAGCAAAAAAATCCCCAAGATACATACTTTCATCCAAATCATCCACCGCCATTAACAAAAGCACAACCTATATCTTCCTTCAGCTAAGATTAAAGAAAAAATTGAAACCCTGATCATTCTCAAACATGCTTTTGAAATCAGAATAGAAAGGAAACTTGAAATTAGAGGGTCATAAGATTTGGGCTGGGGATTGGACTCGTCGTCGGAATTCACCTCTTCCTCTTCCTCTTCACATTGATTACCGAATAGGTCTGCATCAACTGGTGCCAATTCTCCTCCCTATCGCTGCTGATGTGTGCTGCAGTCGGAGCCCTCAAAGTACTGACATTGAATAGTTCATTTGATTAGATCATAGAAAATATCACCATAGTATCCTGCAAATTTCAAGAAATGTGTGCCGAAACAAATCTGAAAAGGAATGAAAACCCTGTTAACCAAACCCATCAACAATAACATAAGCCTCACCAATCAGAAGCAAGCAAAACCAATCCGACATGGTGAAATCCAGTCAACAAAACAAAAATCCCAAGATTACATACTTTCATCCAAATCATCCACCGCAACGACAACACCACAACCGATATGTTCCTTCGGCTAAGATTAAAGCAAAAATTGAAACCCTAATCATTCACAAACATGCTTTTGGAATCAGAATAGAAGGGAAACTTGAAATTAGAGGATCATACAGAATTGGGCCGTGGATTGGACTCATGCTCGGAATCGCCCTATTCCTCTTCCTCTTCAGATTGATCACCGAATAGGTTCTGCATCAAAACCCACTATCAAAAATCATACAAAAATCAATGCATTCACCGAAAAATCTCTAAAACCCACAAACCCCAAAAAAAATAAAAATAAATAAATAATCATACAAATAACTCACCGTGCTCAGATATACTAATTAAGATTAAGGGGTTTATATGAGCAAGAATACAAACAAATTTGGAAATGTCATACAATCCAAACCCACTTCCAATATTTAGCTATAACTAAATGAGGCCGTATCAGCCCAGCCAGAACCTTCTCGATCACCTCCTTCACCGCAAACTATCAATGCCAACACAAAAATTGAGAAAATGTGCGAGTAAATTTGAGCTTGTGATTTTCTCCGAAACCAAACAGGGGCCTAGACAGATGCTGCGCGGGAAGACTTTCTAAAGGCAATCAAATTTGCACCTCAAGACAATGCTATTGCAAGAGAGTTACGTCTTCAGGCACGAAAGGCGTAAAGCTGAGTGGTCAAAGATCTTACGGCTTTTTTTTCATTTTTTTTTAATCGGTCGAAACATCTTAAGCTCTTGAATTGTATGATAAATGAGGAAATCCGTGTATTGAACTTGATGGCAAACAAGACTGATTTGTGACCTTAATGTCATCTCTAATTAAAAGGGTTACGTATATTTTTTTTTCTAGAGTTATAAAAAAAATTAATTTTTAATGAACAGAGCTATGTTATATTTATATACTATTTTCAATTGAAATGATTAAATATAATCATTTACTAATTTATTAATTTTAATTTTACTCTTTAAATTTATTTACTACTTATATCATGTGAAAATAAGGTTATTTAGACATAATTTTTTAGGTGGATATAATGTGAAAAAATGGAGTAAAATGAGTCAAGATGGTAAAAATTCATGTTTTTAAAAAAGGGTCCTGATTTACAATATGTAAACATAATGTATTTCTAAGGGCTCTGCATCTTTTTCAATTAAAACTAGGGTATAAGCACACACTTTGTGTGTGAACAATTTCATTTTTGTTTTTTTTTTATTAAGGAGTGTGATTAGTTTTTAAAATTTTTAAAAAGAGCATGAGACAATGATGATGGGATCTCTTAATAAGGGCATCTTTTTTTTAATATTACATAATTACCATTTTGCCCTCTTTATGTAAATATTATGTATCAAAAGTAAGGGAAAAATAGGAAAAATAGGGATATGATTGTCATTTTGTCAGAAGATGCAAAATTACTATTTTGCCCTCCTTTTTTTCAAGAGTGTCTCAAAAGTGAGGGCAAAATTGAAAACAAAGTGGCAAAAAGTTGACAAGGTGTGTTCTCTTAATATATGGTATAGATACCTACAATATGCGTGTTTTTGCAAATTATGTATTTCTAAGGGCTCTGCATCTTTTTCAATTAAAATACCTACAATATGCGTGTTTTTGCAAATTATGTGTTCTGATTAAGTAAAATATGGTCAAATCAAGCCATGTTTTTGTCTATACAGAAAAGCATGATTTTTCTCGTGGGTTTTTGAGATGCATGCATCCACTCAGCTGTCAAGAACCCAGAAAGGCGTTGGTGCTGGGCTCCACAATTGGGCTGCTCGGCAGGCCCAACATACCTAGCTTGATTGTCTTTCGGCTATCATTCGGCTTGGTGGCTCCCAATTTTTTTTGGCCCAACTCTCCATTGGAGTTGGGTTTTGTGGTATTTTGGGGCTAAAACTTGACCTATGGTCTAATAGAAGAGGAAAGAACTTCATTCAATCCACTAATCCCCAACTGATTCTAGCAGTTTTTAGTGCTCCGCAATTTTTTGGATAAATACAACACACAACAATTTCTATTCATATATTGCTCTTTGACATACTGCTTGGGAAAATCTGTCAGCACATGAAGATTTTGAACGCGTTAGGTTTTAATTTGGACAGTAAGGACTGGGGAATCCATTTTCATAATTTTGATAAAATTGACAGGCTGCAGCAAACTGCAGTACAGACTTCTAGATTTACTGATAGAGGTTCCATGATTTGTTCTACAATTTGGAACAATATTCTAACTCCAATGGCCAATGGTATTTTCTCCACTTTCATGAATGGCTTAACTAAAGCAATTTCCACTTTTACTTTATCTAGACATATGATTGGTACTATGACATTAGTTTGTCTAGTTGTCTACGATTGCTACACTTGTGCTATAAAGTTTATACTTGGCAGTACAATTATCGTATCTCCTACTATATATTTTCTGGAGTACCTGTTTACAAACACAATTGGCAATCAAATGCTTCATGGACGAAAAATGCAGCACGCTCCTCCGTGGTCTGATGGCTTTCTTGTTATTATATATGGGAGGTCTTCTTGATAGCTGTGTGCTGGGTTTTCACAATGGCAGATGAAGACATGATGATCATATGGGCATTAGCGTGGCATAGGTATATGGGTTCAATTCTAGTTGTTTGTTGTCATCTTCAATCGATCAAGATTTCAGTTGGAACATCTTTGAAAGGAAATTCCTATCTAGTTGAGATTGCCCAAGCTGGTGCTAAAGGGGGAGTTATCTTTGAAACTATGCTGGCAGAAGAAGATGCAGCTATCCCAATTGCTGCAATAAGACGACAGTTTTTGGTGCCTTGACTATTGATCTACATGTTGATTTCTCACTGTTGTTCACTAGTAACCTTGACCTTTGGCCTGTATGGGATCTGAGAGAACCATAAAGTCAACGCTCTGTTTAAAGTTCCAAGAGAACCATTTCAAGGTGCACCGTCAATTCTTGGTTCTGCAGCTACACCAACATAAACCCTGCAGTACATCCTACTTGACTACCACCACAGCTGCTGGCCACATGAGTAGGAATTCTTCACCGTAAATCCAAGCTTCACCCTTATCAGGTGCTCTCTATCAAAAGGATTGAGGTCGATATATGCAATATCCTTGCTGCCTTAGCGTTCTCCTTTGGTTCAAAAATGAAGAAGTTGGAGCATGAGGAAATTGGGTATTTTTGTCGTTGGGAGAACATGGGTTCACACCCCACTCTCAAATGTCCCTTGTTGAGTTCTCAGATGGTGCTCAGGCTCGTGTTGTGCTTGAACCTAGAGAAACTAAAGGGTTTACCCTAATTAGGATCGTTACAAATTAAGGATGACTCAAACAAGGATATTTACTCAGTAAGAGAAGTTTATACAAATAACTTATTTCCATTCAAGTATGCGTTCAACATAGAATGCACACATACTTATAGGCCTAGGAGGAAATTTCCCGAACCTCCCCTAAAACTATTTGGAGATAAGACATGTTCTCTTTTGTCCCTTATATAAGAGAATGAGGAATTTTCTCTACATCACAATTAACAGTACTTTACGTCACACACAAACTACTTTAGATAAGATTTCTTACCTTATAACACATCGAATATTATTCTAGTGGGGACAACTTATTGTCAAACAACATGATGTTGGATAATTGGTGTTGGAATAGTAAAATTGTAAATTATTAGCTAATGAAAAAATTACATGATCAGAAGGGTGAGAGGGTAAGAAAAGTATGGAACGCAGGAGAGTATTTTGAGTTGAGTGTTTTTACTGAGACTTTATTTCTGAGTATACATATTAGTTGGAGCATTGTTCAGGACGAAAAAAGTTGAGTAGGGACAGCTGCCCCCATTGGGCATATGATGCCTCCATTTATGTCGAAATGTGTCAAATGAATAAACAATCATCATAAATGTGTTCCTTAATACTCACAACATTTATTTATTTCATCTATTTAGAAGCATAAACAATTTACGATTTGAAATAGCTTCTTAAAAAAATTATCTTTTAATAAAATTAAAAAAAAATATACTATTTTAATTATAAAAATATACAATTATACATTAAGTGGTTTTAGGATAATAAATCGGCCCAGTTCAAAACAGCCAATCTTCTATGTTAAGTAAAAAGATAGGTGTCACAAGGACAGTGCAGGAAGAGCGTGGGCAAAGGTCTTTTGGGCACAACAGATAATTAATTAATTAAGTTGATGTCTCTCTCGTCTGTATCTCATCATACAAGTAAGTCCCGCTTTTTCCTTTTTCTATTTTCCGTGTTCTGTTTGTTTCCTGAGAAAATTCCAAGGAAAACGAAACCCTTCCTAATTTTTGGTTTGGAATTCGAATGCAATTGCATTAAATTTTGAGTCTTTGATTGGGGTATTTGCAGAATTTTGAGAAGGCTCATTGGATTATACAAGTTAGAAGTAATGGAGGATGGTTCTGGGATCTGGAGCAGGCTGAGCAGTAAAGGCCACCACTCGGTTTCTGTAAAAGCAAATATATGTCAAATCTTCCACTTTTAGTAGCTTGTTAGCTTCAAATAACTCATAAGTGTGTTTTCGAGTGATCGAGTTGGACTAAATGAACACATGAAGATGTTTTCTTACCCGTTTCTACTTAGTTTCTTCAAGGACAATTCATCATTAGGTCATTATCAAGCCGGAAACTTACTGTTTTTATTTACGAATTGATAAGATTTTGGAAATAATATGTGTACCGAGAAGGAATGCAATAGTTGGATACTATGACTACTGCTTCCAGTGCACCGATTCATCATTCCTCCATGCTTTTTTATGTTGAGTAACTCAGAAATCCTGTGTTCCAAAACTCATGTAGTATAAGTGGGGATGGCAGCTATGTAGTCCCTGTATAATGTGCAGGGGAAAGAAGAAGATTGTTTTTCCCCTCTGTGCATGAGTGAATTATAATTCCTATAGGGTCGTTCCCATATATTATGGGGCACTATAATTCCTATAGGGTAGTACAATCCATGTGAGCCTTGTCAAATACCATCCAAGTTTTCAAATTGATTCTGTAAGCGTGAAGTGGTTTCCTTTTTGGTAGTGCTTTGATGTGTGCATTAGTTCAAAACCCAATAATTGTTATGTGTGCATGTATATGTTAATATAGGAGTAAGACATGAATGAGCTTCTGACTTGCAAACAGACAAACACAACATCAACGTTCACAGAGTTGTGGATGTACTATTCGTATAGGAGAATTAATTGTTCATGCATTAAAATTTATAAAAGGGATGCCTAAGAAGATACATGTAGAATGGTCTTGCAGTGAATTTTTACTCTGGTTCTTTCAATCACTGAGTGGTTGGCATATGCATGATAGTGCACTACAGGGTATGGACTGAAAGCACAAGACACAAGTTTGAAGGCACATGGAATGAACAACGACTACTTGAAATGATTTTAGGAAAATGTATTAGCATTGCCGAGTAATCTGTTACTTTTTATATTTATATATACAGAGTATATGCAAACGAGTTCTGGCATGTTCCTTGTTTAGTCTGCAATTAGTTTGTGATTTCTTTATTGCTTTTATTCTCTGTAATAACTTATCATTCCAGATGATTTGGGTCCATAAAAATTTAAGCATTATGTAGTGGTATAAATGCAATGGACTTCTTATTAGTAGTATATTTTTGTTACTGCAACAGAGAAAAAGGAAATGACTGGCTTGGCTATTGCGGTGTCCAGCAGGAAGTCTGGAGAGCGTGCTCTGTTACATGTAGGCTGGGAGTTAGGGTATGGGAAAGAAGGGAGCTTTTCTTTTCCGAATGTTCC